CACGCATGCACGCGCCCCCCCAATGCTTCCCCCCCCCGTTTCAAACGATTTGGTTCCCCCTGGACCCAACCCTCAGGATGAAGGCTTGGGGTGGATGAGCTGCAAACGGCTAATTCCCGCCCCCTTGGCTTTGTATCCCCCCTTTTTTTTCCCTTTTCCCTGCTGTTGCCATGGGTTGCGGTTGCTACGAGTTACCGGATCAAGGCCGCCTGGCTTCTGTACCTGGCAAACAGCCCCCGGCAGCGCCTGGGCGCATGGAGGCGCCGGGAACACACACACGCGCGCGCGCGCACACACACACACACACACACACACACGCGTACGCACGCACACACAGACACACACTCACAGGCGGGGAGGGAGGGAGGGAGCGAGCTGCGGAGAGAGCCCCCTGCGCACACAGTCAGTCTCTGCTTGCAGCTGCAGGAAAAACTACAGCAAGTGGGGTGGGGGGGAAGAGAGGATGAAGGCCCTGAGGTAAGAAACTAGCAAAACTCAACTGCAAGTGGTGTCAGTGCTGCCTCCAGGAGCAGAGGCAGGAGACTTTAGGGGGGCTGATGATGACTAGGCACTTCTGGTAGTAACTGTTTTCCTCTTAGCATGGAGCCAGATGGTTAGTGAGTGGAATGGACAAAAGTTAGGAAAACCAAAAAACCAAAATCAAGGGAGGAAAGATGCAGTTTAAAAGCGTGAGCCTGGCCTGTGGTGAAAGGCAAGGCAAGGCAAGACTCAGGCACCAGAGGAGCTTGTGCTGCTAAATCAATTGGTGGCAAATGTCAAAACTGGTGGAACTGTGGTCCTAACAATTAGCAAAAGTTTTGCAGCTTCCAGCAGTTGGTGAGAGCTTCGCAGGCAGGAGCAGTGTGTAGGCAAGGGGAAGCTGGTACTGAGGGACAGCTACAAAGAGAGATCGCAAGGTTCTGGGAAGTCTGTTTGAGTTGGTGAAGTTTTTATTTGCAGCTTTCTAAAAGAGGATCTGCAGGAAATGTGCTCAGCTTTGCCTCCGAGCTTGCGAGAGTTTTCCTCCTTTTTGTATTTGATGCCAAACTGTAGATAATCATTTTAATTTTAAGTAGTGTATATTGTAATTGCAGACCTAGACCAGAGAGTTGCTATATCAACAAGGAACTGTTATTTAAAAACTTTTGACAAACAAATATACAATAAAATAGCAAAGTTGTAAGTCAGTGTTATGTATACGTATGATTGGTATAACATATATATATATATATATATATATATATATTATACATACATATACATGAACTCTAAATATTCCAAATCAAAAGGGGTATTTTTGGTTTCTGTTATGAAAGATAATTCAGTTTAATTTAAAAAATATGATTTATTTCAGGAAACAAAGTAAAACGGAGTACGTTAAGGAATATTTTAAAGGGAAAATACTTGTTTTTTCTTTAATCATTTAGGCCTTTCATGAGGGGAATCATAGTCTGTATAATGGAAATATTGATTTACATTTTTGCACTTACAAAGAAGGATTCAGCAGCGTAGAAAGTAGTGACAAAAAACCCTTTTCGGGGTAGACAATGATCATCGTTATTGATCCTACTTATAAGAGCATCTACTTAAACAAGGCTTTTATTTTATCCATTTCTTGAAAATGCTGCTATGTGCTTCTTGAATTTTACAGCAGAATATGTCAACAAATATAAATGTAGATACTTTTTAATATAATTCTGAAAAATTACCTTTAGCATATTGATAAAAGTGTCAAGGAACCAAGACGAAAAAATACTGGGCACAGAATTTTGAAATGTTATGTGTTGGGAGAATGAAGAAAGCCAAGTGGCTAAATATTCAATGTTTATAAAAAGTGAACTGTTATTAAATGAACAGTTTTCTTTTAACGGGATTTTTGTTATCTTCATTTTAGTGGCATTGCAAGTAACAGGTTGTTGACTACAAATTTACGTTACTCTGACGGTACATGTGTATTAATATACAAAAGTGTAAACTACTAAGATTTTGTTTGTTTACATACTGCTCAAAAACCCATAGCAAACAAAAAAGTTAATTTAAAAAAGAAAGAGTAAATTGTACTAAGTAATATAAAGTCATGACAAAGAACAAAAAAAGTAGGAAATGGGATTTTTTTTTACTCTTACATCTACATCAGTGTAAATAGGAGATAAAAATGATATTTTTCTCTATTTGTTACTTGCGAATGTTCTTTTATATAAAAGGTTTTTTAGATACAAAGAGATTAGATTATAAAGGGTAGATTCTCAGCAAAAATAAAGAAGAATTCTGAATCTGGAAGTGGGGAATCAGAATATAATTATAAATCACATCTATTTGAAAATTAAACTGAAATATTGCTTAGTTGCAACAAAAAAAACTTGAGAAAACACTGGTAAGAGTTTCTTCTTGAAATTAAAACAATATTTAATATAGTACTAAAATTACTAACTCAGTCATAAACAAAAGAAAATTACAAATTTTATATTAAATTTCACAAAATTAGGACAATTTCCTAAAACACTTTCTTACAATATTTTGGAACATACTAAGCAAACACTGGAACAGAAAATATTCTTCATTAACATTTAACATGAAAAATTTCAATAATATATGGTATACCAACAACTTTGAAAAGAACAACATTCTTCATTAACTTCCACAAAGAACAGGAAGAAAATAAGGGAACGGATTTTATAGTATAGAAATGTATTGAGTGAGATAAAAGCTAATAACATACAGTTATTACAAATCCAAGGATTACTGATACACAGGCTGCCTTGAAAACTTTAATACACAAAAGAGAAGCTCCCTGAATTAAAAATAGATACAGGATTCCTCCACCTCTTAAATCTGTTGTAATTTTAGATACATATTTAGATTACAAGTTAGCAGAGTACACAATGTAAAGTGCATTAAATGATCTACCTAAATGTTAAAAAACAAAACAGCCCCCCAAAACACATACACAAGCGAGAAGTGTAGTAAAGAAAATAAAAAGATCTAATTCCCTTTCCAAGGACATTATTCCAGTTTTTGCATATCACATTATTTTTCACTATTTGCTAAATACCTCAAATTTGCTAAATACCAAGTCTATCAATGAGGTAAAAGAAACAAGAAAAAGTTAAATCAAATGAAAGTCACCAATTAGCAATAACAGCTTTCTTCTAGTTAAGTTTGTAGTGATAACTTGTTGCTTTAATTAAATGTTATCACCGCATGAAAATGCTCTTCTGCACCCAAGCAGAGATTGTGACTAGATACATTTGTGCAATTCAATAAAAATGGTCTAAAATAAACTTAGATATCTTTTAAAAGTGCTACTACCATCAACAGAAAACAGTGGTTCAAAGTAGTTACCTAAGTGATGTTATCCTTAGGCTATGAAAACACACATTCTGAAATTTCACAGATTCCCAGCTGGATACTTTAAGAACAGGCCCACACATGTCTACACTAACTTTTATTAGTTGACCATTTAATAACATTTATTTTTTTTCTTTAATGCACAGGGTAAAAACATCTCTTCCCTGATACTAGCCAAAGTATCCTTCAGAGGCAAAAATCTATATTAGGCCTGAACCTGAAGCCCTTTAGTCAATGAGAGTTTTGCCATTATTTCATTGGGAACAGAATCAAAACCAGTGGCTTATTTTCAGTAGTAGTTAAAAAACATCAAATATAAATACAACAAAACACTGAAACAAGTTCTACTGACAGACTCAGGGTGACACCTCTCTGTTACTGTGAACATATAGAGCACAGCAGATACTTAGTTAAAACAAAATGTTTGTGGTTAACAAGTGTTCAGCCCTGCCTTTCATTTGTGAAAAAAAAATCAATGTTCCAGTGCATTTACTATAGTAAAGGTGAAATCAGTGGTTCCAGATATTCCAGTTTGTACCTAAAGACATCATAGAGGTCTGCATTTGTACTGCTATAATTATGTGATTATCAACTTACTGGAGAGATGATTGCACTTCCTTTAAAACATTAAATAGAGAACCTTCACTAATAGTTTGAAACAGCTGCCTAAAAGCTGACCACCTAGGGCAAAACCCTGACCCCAGAGAAGCCAATGGGAAATTCTGCCATTGACTTCAATGATAACAAAATTTCACCCATGACTTTTACTGGGAGTAAACCTTCATAACTCCCACCATCTTTCATGTGAACTGAGGGTGTCAACACCCCTGAAAATCATGTCACTGTTATTTACATGCCTGACTTAAGTGACTGTGCTTGAAACTTTTGGCCTCTAGTTCTTGTGCATGATAAAAGCAAGTTTTCCATGCACTGGAGCAAGACTAGAGGAAGACACTATCCATCTCAAATTGTCAACAGCATATCCCTTGTACAGTTATTGTTCGCTTATGCTACCATGCTACCTTAAAAAGTTAATGCCATGTGGCATATATAATTTCATCAATGTCAAATGACTGTTTGAAGTGAAACATCTCTGATATAAACTGCAAAAGGTGCTTTGAGTATATTTAATTTGACATAGTTTTAAACTAAGTGAATAAAATATAATTATTTTTAAGATCTAAAACATATAATCAAGGGACATATTGTATCAGCCATATTTTGCCACAGAGCATCACTATCCTAATATTGGTTGAGATTCTAATGGCTGTATAAACTTAAATATGATAAGTAACATGCAACTCTGATAAAAAAAACAACCAACGAACATTATCACAGTATGTTAAAAAACCAGAGGAAGAACAGTTATCTTTTTAGGTACATGTTATTGCAAAACTGTGTTTACATAAATACATGTGGATGTAACTAGCAAATGTAACATGAGTCATTCTGTCTGTACTAGGATGGCAATATACAAATGATTTTTCAGGATTCTTCAGAAGCTGGGCTTGCTTTGCATCCATGTGAAATGCTGTCATCACTACTGTGTCCAAGCCCCAAGGATGAACTGCAGAAAAGGGGAAAGAAAAAAAAAATAAAAAGAGGAAATTGGTTTTCACAACACACTCAAAGCCTGAGTAACAGAGGAGAACTTTAATTATCTCCAGTCACAAAGAGAGACAGGAAATTTGGACTTTTAATTAGCCATTTGGAGTGCAGTTGGATATTTTTTTAGCAAGATAATTTAAACGCGAATAATTCAAGTCTGACTAAATGAAATTCACATAATCAGAATGCAGATAATTGAATTTCTACTGCATTCATTAATTCAGTGTGGAGGTGTGTGTGAAGACTTCTATGATGAGCTGTCACAGCTCAATAAAATCTCAGTCAATTAATTTTTTCATTATCTTAGTATTACATCAACAAAAAAAGTGAAGCGTGTGTATATGCATGTGCGTATATATATATAAAATTTCAGAATGTAAGAAAGTAAGGAAGTAACCTCTCTGAATCAGAATCTGCATCAATTTTTCCTTTTTTCCTCTCTCCATCTTCAATAGGAAAACGTCGATGCAGAGAGGCAAACTTAAGAATCGCATCAGCCACAGAATATTTTGTCTGTCCAGATACACAAGCCTCGATATCTTCTGGGCTTAGCTGAGTCTGTAAGAAGAGGTGAAGCCTACTGTCTGAAAGCAATAATGCGTTTTGTAGGATCCTTTAAAAAGAAAGAAAGAAAGAAAAACAAATGTTTATATTATATTCAACTGTTTTACCAGAACAATCTCTTAATGTTGTCATGTTTTCAAATGCTTTAAATTAATCCCAAGTCAGTACTGGACATACTAAAATGACTAGGTATATGCTACTTTCTTATTATATTATTTGGAATTTTAGGTGAGTAAAAACATGAAGCAAATAGTTAAAAACATCTGTTATAAGAATAACTTCAAGGACATTTCTTCCATTTAACCATCTGTTATTACCATGTGGATCAATTAATGCTTTTAAAGGAGTGTGAAATCATATACACTTTGGAAATGTTGATGTCTACTCAAGAACTGTTTCTATATTATGAAAATATTAAAATTTTCTAACATTATAATTCACCCATTTCTTTTGAGGGAGTTGAAGAAGATGGAGCAGTTTAGAAACATGAAAAGTCTGGACTTTGAAATACCTATGAGTAGTAGAATGTTTTTGAATTTCAGCCAAAGTATTTTACACTTCTACAAATTTTTATATAAAAGTAGAATAAAAATGCCATTGAGCCACATTGACAAATGTTATGGTAAAATGTTTTCAGGAAGCTCAGACAAAACCCCTCATCTTAGCCTTTTTATTTATAAAAATAAATGGTCAAATACACTCAGCATAAACTATTTTATTTCATGAATAGTGTGTAATCAGAGTACAATATTCAAGAAATATGGAAAGTCAGAGTCAGTTTACTCCGGAAGGATTGAAATCTGAGCATCATTGTTGCTACTCTGAATATGCAGTACTACTGCAATATTTTAAGAAAGAGGGAACCGTACAATATGCCTAATCTAACATGATTAGCAGGAGACAATAAGGGCCAGATTCTGTCAAATGTTTTGAGTGTGTATAACTTTACTGATGTGACTTTTCCTATTGAATCTAATGGAAATGCTCAACATTAGCAAAAATTTACTTTGCTAATGATTAATGTTGAATACAAAAATTACTAAAATATTTCAAAGCAAGATTAAGATATTAAGGGACAACATTTTCCTACTTACTAATATTTAGATTACCTTTGTTTATTAATATGCTTCCCTTTAATTATTAGATTTACCACTGTACAATGGGATACAAGCGATAACATTAACATAAGAATGGATGAAGACCAAAAAAGCCTCAAACCAAGTGTATTATAAAAATACTCCAATTAAAATAAAATTATTATAGACTGGTTATTTGTATTTCACAAGACTAGACACATGCTTGAACTGCAACATTTTAAGATATAAGTACACTAAAACTATTGTCTATTACAGAAAACATTCCAATAGTATTTAATGTAAAAAGGTTTAAAAGATTTCTGGCTTTCAGTTAGAGCCTATAAAATTGCAAAGCAAAATACATGAGCAGAAACATAATTGTAAATTTGGGATATAACCATGTGTAGTAAGTGCTTGTACACATACACAAAATAATTCAACTTAAAAATTTACAGTGATGAAAAATGTGGCTATAATTTTCTCCTATACTTGATGTGAGATTCTATTTAAGATGGTAGAGTTCTAATAGTGACTAGCTTCAGCTATGTGCTAAGATAAAATCATTTTGAAAACTCTGATAACAGCTAGCTTTTTACTCCTATAAACCCCTCCTAATTTACTTAAAAATAACCACCAATCATAATTTATCTTCTTAACATTCATGCCTACAACATATTAATGCACAATATGTTTAAAATAACTTCTCAGTGTCCCCAAAGAAGCCATGCAGTAGCATGCAACAACACAGAACTTAAACCCACACCTCCCTTCTTTCTCAACAACAGCAGCTTCATGAATACAGTTTGAAAAGCTATCATTCACGGGCCACAGAAAAGGGATTTCAGCAGACTCTTGGTAAACGTAAAATCCCAAACAAGAAATAAGACAAACATCATGACAAAAAGAAAAAGAATCATACCACACAATAAATCCAGTTTTTCAGTGTAAGCACTTGTAGGAGTAAACTCATTCTTTTTTCCCTTTAAATAAATCTTAGTTTGCTTTCCAGATTTACAAACGTGACCATGAAGAAATTCACATTTTTGCAGTTTTGACTTCTGCATGTCATATTCAGAGAAGTATCATAAAAGCTGGCCTACTAAATTCATTGTACACTGGTTTTAGTTTCCTTGCAGATTTTCTTGTTCTGTACCTTCAGTAGTTTCCTGCCACTCAGCCAACACACAAGTAACTAACTGCTCATGAGATTACACTATACTTACAGCTTTGTTGCTGTTTGAAATGTATTTTATTTTCTTTATAAAATAATGGGTAATCTTTAAAATTGATTTTAGATGGTTTGAGGCATTACACCACAGAAGTAATGAGCACTAATGTCAATGATATTGGACACAAATTCATTTTAGCTTTATTTCATGTCCAGTGCAATTCTACTAAACCTTGAACTGCTGAAGCACTGTTATTAACTTGCTGGTAACCTAACACATGGGAACAGCAAACAAAAGTGATAAGAGTACAGGTTGATCAGGACCTCAAGGCTACTGTCCTTTTTCTGCAGCTATAATTCAATTTCCAATTTTACTTTACATTGGACTCATTATTTCACAGTAATTTTCTTTTCTGCTTAATAGTGCCACCTGGAGGTTAAACAAGTGAAGAGAGATTGAAAGGAAGAATTAGAGAGAAAGATGTTCGTTAAACTAATCAGAGATAGTACATCTTTGAGGGGGAAAAAAACATTTATATGCTTTGCAAAACTGGCTTGTAAGCAGATATATGAGCACTCTTCACATAGTTTATGCCCTTGAAACTTCTCTTCTACCCTTTAATTAAGGGATAACAACTTTGCCTTTTTTATTCTGCTACCAGCAAGTTACATTGCTTGAAGGATGTAATTAAAAAGCAATCAAAATGAAAAATAAAGTGTATGTGCGATTAATTTCTAGCCTCATGTTTTCATGTTCAAAATATTCTTTCCTCTGAAAAAAGTACGTGTGTGCTTTGTCACCAGAAGTTATTGCTATCATTAAATATTAATAATATGGTAGTACTCATGGCTGTGGCTCTGCTGTGCTAGGTACTGTACAAATAAATATAAAATGATCGCTCCAAACATTTTACAATCTAAAAGGCAAGACATGACATGCAGAAAAAACAAAAAAGGAAGGTGGAAAGGCACGGGGGAGGTAAAACATGGTAACAACAAATGAGGGTGTTTTAGCAGAGACTAAAAATAATGACTAGACAGCTTTAAAAAGCAAGATTTTTCCTCTGCATCTCTAGAGCAGAACTGGAATCCCTAACCTACAAATATTTATTCACGCAAGTAGTCATTCTTCCCACAATAAAGTCTCACTCATGCCATGCATCAGCTCACTTACATAAGGAATACCTACATGAGTACTGGTTTGCTGGGTCAGGCCCTAGATTTGAATTTGAGACAATCAAACCTTTTTTATTTGTGGTTATGAGAATCTTTATAAGCAGTTTCAGTAAATATTTTTGATATCTAGATGTCTGCAGAAAGAGAACATGAAATAGCAACAAAAGTAGGTAGATTTAAGACGTGCTGTAGGATATGAGAGGAATATGCCCTCTCCACCAGTTAAAACAAGACCATTTGCAAAAGACAAAAACATGTGTTTTGTCTTATTTGGACAAAGGCCAAAATCTGGTTTTCTTCAACATGATTTTATTAGATATATTATATACAGTTCTGCTGCAGGAGAATAACATATGGCTGAACAGTACAACTTAATCCTAACTAAAGATTTCCTGTATCTACTGTAACCTAATACAATGACAGATGCACACTTCTATGCGTGTGGAAGGTTAACACTCTGATTTCGTTTTCAACAAATTTACTCTGCCTATTTACATCAGATCATGGGAGAGAGAAAAAATAAAATCTTCCAGAAACAACTGATCACAGCCTGTGTTCTGGTGCCCTCTATCGAACATACACTCAAGGTTCAAATACAGAAAGTAAGGGGAAAACAGCCCAGTGTAAACAAAACTCAGTTGCCACCCCTTAAAAGTAGAGTGAATCTTGTCATACTTTTTTTAAAAAAAGAAGACTTACTGAAACAAGCAAGTTAGAAAGTAGCAGGCAAAAGGCAAGAATTTGAGAGAGAATTTAACTAAAAAATAGTAAACAGAAATGAAGGGTTAGACACCACACCACACTACATGACATTCCATATTCAAATAAGAACAATTTTGGCTACTCTATTCACAAGACCTCTAATACAAAGATAGAGCCTGATTCTGAATCTGTCACTTATCCAAGTAAATCTTATATGATTAGACTGATCAAAGCCTATCAGTCCCATCCACTCATGCTCAGAATCTCATGTGACCACATACCAATGCAGAGTGCAAAGCACTACAAACACAATGGCAATATTTTACACCCACTCTGCACTACTGAAAATGATTAGGTGCAAGGCAACATTGTGTCTGGCCCAATGAAGTTATTCACAATTTTTACACATACATGGTAAGGAGATGAAAGCAGGACTCAATTTGGGAAATCAGCACTGGACTGAATCTTTAAACCAGTTTGCTTGTTAATTTTGTCATAAACTGTCATAGTACGCACGTAATGGCTAACTGAAATATTAAGCATCAGTAGTCACACTAATGGGTATTAGCAGTAGATACTTACACTCTCTTCTTAAGCCAAACTTTTCTGAGAGAATGTCTCCAATTACAGTCACTAAAGGCTGTAGCTGTAATGATATAATTGTCTGCAACTTAAATTTAACTGGTTTGGGGAACTAAATGTACAGTTAAAATAAACAAGTATGCAAATCCTTGTTCTAAGAAGGTTTTTGACCTCCACATTAAATTTTGTGCAGAAAAATGATGAGGGAGAAGAGGATTTATAAAATTTAGTGTTGATAAATTTCTTGACCTTTTTCTCTCCATTTTAACAAGCTTCTTGAATAAATTTAAAGAAACATTCGTGAGCATGAAAAAACAGCGTCTTCAGGAAAGTTTCCAAGTGGAAATGTAGTTTTCCTTATTCCAAGAAAGGAACTGTAACCAAATTGATACATGGCTATTACAAGTACAGTTTTGAAACATAAAATTACACAAGTGACAAGAACCGAGTTTTACTGTTCTTTGATAATTCAAAATGATAATTATCTGTAAGACATGTATATTTTTTGCTACGAACATATGATGAAATCAGATTAATCTAACCAGAGGTGTCAAAGGTATGGCTTATGGGCTGGATCTTGCCCATGGAGTCCTATCATCCAGCCCTGGTTGCTGCATATGGGTCTGGACCAGCTTTCCCTGAATGCAGCATGCACCATCTCTGAGTGAGTTTGATACCCTGATCTAAACCCAAATACAAACGAACACACTATTATGCTTTATTTTTGTTTGAAATTGAAAGCCAAACCCTTGCCTTGGTTTATACAGTAATAAGAAACACAGATGCCCTGCATGGCAGGGCCAGGAAACTCATGCAAATGAGATTCTTTTCCTCCCCCTACTTCCAGCACAAGTGCTCTGCTCTCTCTCTTTTTTGCTAGTGCTGTGGGATTTGCTCAAGTAGCCTCTTCACAAAAAGAGGTGGATGCAGAAGACAAACAGAAAAGATGTAGAGGTGGTGAAGCTGAGATTTTTAAAAGCACCTGATGAGATTTTCAGGAGCCCCTGACACAAGGAGTCTAAGACTCATTGAAAGTTAATGGATACTTCTGCTCCAATTTAATTTGGAAGTATATCAAAATATTACAATAGACCAATAAGGGATTGAAGGGGTCTGGATTTAGAGGGGGTCCTTCTATTTCTCTGTCTATGACTCATGTTCCTCAGCCTGATTGACAATGTGGGTTTGGATCCCTATTCTGTCCGCTCCCATAAGCTAATGCCAGGCTAGTGTGTTGTTCTGCCTGGAAGAAAGCTATCCTCACTCTGGCTAACTGCTCACTTTTATTGTTTTGGATTTTAAAGCCCCTGTCAGTTTCTTCTAGACTGACTCCACCCAACCCTGGATAATGGGGAATCCCTGTTCCTCAGGTCATCCATGGTACTAGACTGTTGCATGAGAAATGATGAGGGATGGATGCCTGCCTCAGTTATACCTTACTGTTTCCTAAGAGGCTCTTTCCCGCTCAGGGCTACATGGCCTGTCCAACCCCTGGAGCTGCTGAAGAACCAGTGCTGTAGAAAGTGTTGGGCACAGAATTTCAATCCACAGAGTAAAATGATGCCAACTGCTTAAAAAATAGGCAAAGGAATTAGAAAGGTCTCAGATTAACCACACTTCATCTTTAATAGTCACAGAGTTTCTCATACTGCAAAGTCAGCAGTGACTTCACACTGGTATTATACAATTTAACACACTTGTCAGCAAGTCATATAAAATGCAACCTCAGGGAAAGAATTAATAACCCTTGGTTCCAAGAAAAGGAACCACTCCCTCAAGCTCACAGATAAAGGTGAACTAGGTTGCTGAACTAAGAGAACATTTCTAGAAACAGAAACATGCCTGACATTCCAGCCAGCAGAGGGCAATAATAGTGCACACAAACATCAAGCCAAGTCACCAAAACATAACTCTCCAAGCATTATGCAGAGCTGAGAAAAAGGTGCTACATTTCATGCAACATCCAAGAGCAAACATTCAAATTGCTACATCAAAGAGTAAATCCGTCTTCTAAAACTTTGGTGTACAATACTCATCTTAATATTCTTAGGGTAATGGCATGAGGTTGAAATACTCAGCATGTTGTCATTTTCCACTCTCACAATATCCAGTTAACCTAGAGGTGTTCAAAAAGCTGGAAAGTCAACCTCTTTTAAGGGAAACCTCTCTCTCTTACACCTACACACTTGTGGAGGCACAACCCCTAGATAGAAACCGTTTTTCCTGTAATAAAATTCAGAGGCCCAAACGGTGTTCAGCACCATTTCTCAACATTTCATTTTAAAAAATGAGAGAGTGGTTCTGGAAACACAATACTCCACAGTATGGCACAGAAAAGGGTGGAGAACTCAAACATGGATACTTCAGTGCCCACAAGCTTTGTCCTGACTCTCAGTGTTCCTAGCTCTGGAGCTGTCTGAATGTTAAGCCCACCAAATGTGGTGCGATTAGTGTACTCAAGCCACACTCTGTCAACTGACCTTGCTGCCAAGAACTGCTACACACAACTCTATGCAGGGACAGACATGACTTTTGCTAAAATGTAGTTAAAAGGGGTCACTGCACACTCTCCCTGGCCCTCCTCAATTATTAAACATACTAACACAGATCTCCCTCAGCCCATCCCAAACTGATAGCAAAGGATTAAGCACAAAGCTATACAGCACATTGACCAGAGAACCAGCGGACATGTCTACATGTGAATTAATGCACTGTAGTTACTGCACGTTGAGTTTAGTACCTATAATAACAGGTACTAACTAAATGTGCAGTAACTGGCACTACTCCGCAGTAGTGTTGGTATATGCCTTGTTAGTGACACTAATGCTCAGTATACTAATTCTGCTCCACAATAGCTTTTTACCACAGTGACTAATGTGCAGTAGAGTTAATCTACTGATCATTTAGCATCTCGTGTAGATATACCCAGCATGACTGCACTCAGGTGCCACAAAGCACAGTAAATTTTTAAAATTTTCCCATCTTTTTATTACTGATAGAGCTCCAGTGCTGGTACATGCTGAAGTCAACAGAAGGCTAGGATTCCAACCCGCTTGGCTTCTAATCATGCTCAAAGGAAATACTGTATACACAAAACAATGGTTAATAAAAACAGGAAGCTGGTCACAGCCTGATTTCAGCAATGGTTCCATCACTACAACCACAAATGCATCAGTCATCGCACTAGCAAAAAATATTAAGAATTGTAAAAAAGTAAACAGATGACTATGCAA